GCTTATGACTGGTTCTGCCTGACCGGGTTTCGGAACGGTTGAGTTGTGTGTGCTTGGTACAGAGGGGGCGAAAGACGAGAAGAACACTTCCGGAAAGGTGGGGGGCTTTCGCAGGTGCGGGATGTTGAGCGTGTAGGGCTTGGGCATGTCCAGATGGTACCATTTGTACGTCCTACCAGCAAAAAAAAACAGCCGGAACCAAAATTTGGCGAGTCTTTAACTGGGCCCTAAACCCTAAACGCTAAACTCTACACCGTTAACCCTAAACCACAAGGGGCTGGTCCGCCCTGAAGGGGGATGGTCCTGGGGGATGTTCTTTGACACAGCGCAAGGTCTATGAGCTCGACAAGCCCGAGGCATTGGCACAGTTTCTGCAGGACGCGGACATCCGCCTCGTGCGGGCCGAGTGCCCGCTAGCCGTTTAGCGGTAGGCATGAGCCTGAGATTGAAACAGGTACTTCCTTGTTTAGTTTTAGGGCAGGAGCCTGAGATTGAAACTGCCAGGTACTTCCTCAAACTACTGCAGGAGAAGCGCCCACTGAAGCGGCGACAAGAAGCTGAAGTCCCGAGCGAAACCTGCAGCTCTTTGAATCATGGAGTCTGCTCCGCTTTAGTCCCTCATGAGGAAGTGCAAGAGTGGGCGCAAGGACGTCAGCACGCATTGATTGTCTCGATCTCCCATGCTTGGGAAACTCGAGAACACCCCGACCCATGCAGGTTCCAACTGCAGCAAATTTGGAATGCTGTTGGCCTGTATGCTGCTGCAAACAGAGCCGTGTGGGTGTTTTATGATTACATGTCGCTTTTCCAGTTTAAGCGGCAAACTGAAGCCCAAAATGAGAGCTTCAGGCGCTCAATGAATGCCATGCACATGCTTTATGCACACGATTCCACGCATACGTTTCGAATCGAGAGTCTCACCCCACAAGATGTTTGGAACACCATGCTGGATGAGAGTGTGCCAGTTTACCGCGAAGAGACCAGCGCAGTCGAACCACGCCCCTTGCGGTGCTTAACTCCAAACTCGAATCCTTACCTGCAGCGGGGCTGGTGTATGGCTGAAATTGAATGGTCATCAACGAGGAGTGATTCGTCCATGCACCAGCGCATTGGCCCTGGATCCGAGGGTGCTGAACATCCGGGCGGCCGGGTACCGATGGCCCCGGATCTTTTCAGAGAGCAAATGCACCAGGCTGTGTTCACGCACAGGTCTGATGTTGAAAGCGTCATCCGTTTGCAAGAGAAGATTTTCTTCCAGAAGGTGACAGTCTGCAAAGAGCTGACGCTGTCGTGGCTGGTGCCAGACCAGCTCTCCGCTTTGGCGGCGGCAATCCCGCACTACACGGGCT